AACCAAAATTTTATTGCAGATTCGGGGTCCTCTCGCCCAGCACAGAACGACCCCGTTTTCCAAAAAAAAATTTAAAAAATTCTGGGCGGTTTTTTTGCCCGCCCGGTTTACCCGGGCGCCACCCCCGGGCCCGACCGGCCGGGCGGTGTCCTCACTCAGGTAATCAAGCTATTTTACGTTCCGGGCGACCTGGGAGTTGTGGGTCTGCCCAGGACCCCAGGTCCCATCCAAGGAAGGCCAGAGCAAGGTGCCAGGGAGTCCCAGAGCAATTTTTTTTTATTTTATTTTTTTTATTTTTTTTAACCAAGCAGAACCTTCATGGTTTTGGCTCCTTTTCCATTCTGGGGAGCATCAGTCCAGTTCCTTTTCCCTCGGCAATTCCAAGATAGTACAATGCTTACTCACTCACGCTCCTCCCCCTTATGGCATGGAGGCCCAGAAGACGGCATTGATTACTTCCTTGAAGGAGGATATACCGATCTTCACCCCTGCTTAAATTAGCCTATTCTAGGCTGTTATTTTCCTTAGAAGCTATGAGTGTCTGCTATTTGACTTTGCTGGAAATTTCTGGTCTCCTTTCTGTCTATTCCTCCCTGACGATTGGACGTATGGCGTGTCTGTGTTTTCCCGGGACTGGGTGTGAGGACCCCTTTGCTCTAATTTTGGAATCCTTTGGAGCCGTTTTCCTTGAAAGTACCGTCTGAGGCTAAAACCCTAAACCCTAGGTTACAGGTGGCGCGTTGACCAAGCTGAAATAACTTCTGGGAGTAACGTCTGAAAGTGACCTTGAAAGTAGCGTCTGACGCTAAAACCCTGAACCCTAGAGATCTAGGAGGCAGGTGGCGCGTTAACCGAGCTGTTATTGGGAGCTTGGACCGTTCATCTTGATGGGGGGTGGTGTGGTGGGTAATGGGTGTTAGGATTTAGTGTGGTGTGGATGACGTAGGTCAGTTGGGTTTGTGGTGTGGGCGTGAGATTTGAAGGATGGGAAGGTATTTAGACTGGTGAGGTTGAGTTTGGGAGAAGTTTGATGGTGGGTGGTGGTTGGGGGGGGTGCGGTGGAAGGTGGTTAGGCTGGGTTGATAGAAAGGTTCATATATCGGTGTTTGTTCCATTAAGTGCGATGGGGGGTACGTTGTTTGTTGGTGTGGATTGTGTCTGAGTGGTAGGGTTTTGGATATCTGATGCGGGTATAACTAACCATCCCTTTAAGCGCAGTCTTTCTCTTTCCACTGTTCCTAGTTTCCCCTTGTGTAGATTCAGGGAAGTGAATTTATTAATGATCTCTTGTTTCTTATCTGGGGCATTATGTAGGGACTGGACTTCCGTGTATGTTCTGTTCCATTGAGCTTGGATTTCGGTTTCCACCATATGTTTACTGGCCATGAGGGGGTTTTCAGGGGTGTTACTAGAATCCTTGAAAGTTGCTATGCATCTCCTTTTCCAGATAGCCCAGAGGGTCGATGTTTTGATGAGTGAGAAGAAGAAAAGCTCACAACTTTTGAGGGGTGGGTCTTGTTCTACTTCTAGGAATAGGGTGCCGGGGTTGATCGCGATGGTTTTATTAGGGTGTTTGTTCCAGGTTAATTCCATATCGTGCCAGAGCTGCTTTGTCTTTTGGCAATCTATGATGCAATTGTTGAGAGATTCTTCGAGTTGGGCGTTGCAGATGTTTGCTCGGTGTCATTATCTTTCTTTCTTCTTTGTGATAGCTAGAGATTGACGGGTACTGCACGAAAAGTTATGAGCCATAGCAAACTAGCTTGTTTGGGTGGTCTTGTGCAAAATAGAGAGGTCCATGATGGGTTGATGTTGACTGTTGTGATAGTGTTTACTTCCTTTTCCCATCGTTTTTGTATGATCGTGTGTATGGGGGGGGGTTGTTGTGGAGCTTTTAGCCTAATTTGGGTGTGTAGTCAATGAGCGCATAGCAGCGCTCTGATGTGGGCTGATTCTGCTCTAGGACCATTGGACAAGATCTATTTCTAGGTGATTTATTTCTGTTTCGGGTCGGTGGACTCTGTTTCTGTCTCCCTCAATGACCCGGATCCTTCTGAGGTTGGATGATATGAAGGCCCCTTCTGCCCTTGGTTCTTTGTTGATGAAGCTAGCTAGGTTTCCTGGTTCCTGTAGGGGATGGATGAAACAAAGTATCCAGTTCTTATTCTGTAGGTTGTTGTTTGTGACTCTTAAGTATTTTTGTGGGTTTGTTTGTTCTCCGCTCGATGCCCACTCTCCCCACATCCAATTTTGATTAGTCTTCAATAGCTGACACCATTTTAGAGGTATGCTTTCGATGATGTGAGTGATGTTGGCCTGCAGGTTATGGCAACCTTTTAGTAAGTTCCGCAGATCCTATGCAGTCTTCCAGTTGTTTGCTGGTTCATTCCAGAGATGTTGCACTTGCCATACGCCTTCTCTACCCAATGTCCTCGTTTGATGTTTGTTTTGGTGAGAGAGAAGTGGAGTTTTTTTTCGTTTTTGATCCATGGATTGTCGAAGAGGGGTTGCCTAAGTACTTCATCTCTTTTCTCTGGGTCGATTTTATTATGTGGGAAGATCTTTCTCCATATGCGGATGCGTTGTTCCCATAATGATTTTGTGTTTTCTTTCTCTGTTTCCTCGTCTGTGTTAGGAAGGGGGTTGTTGTTGTTCTTTTCTCTTGGCAAAGGCCATGACTTGTTATAGATCCAAGAGATGACATGTTGGGGGGGGATTTATAAGGTGC